TTAAAAGATTTGAACGTGGCATGGTTGTTGCTGCCAGGCGGGCTGGTCTGAGTATTTCAGAAACTGCTGATCTACTGGGATTTTCACGCACAACCATCTCTAGGGTTTACAGAGAATGGTAAGAAAAAGAGGAAATTTCCAGTGAGCGGCAGTTCTGTGGGTGCAAATGCCTTGTTGATGTCAGAGGAAAATGGCCAGACTGGTTCCAGCTGATAGAAAGGCAACAGTAACTCAAATAAGCACTCGATACAACCGAGCTCTGCAAAAGAGCATCTCTGAACACACAACACGTCCAACCTTGAGGCGGATGGGCTACAGCAGCAGAAGACCACACCGGGTGCCGCTCCTGTCAGCTGAGAACAGGAAACTGAGGCTACAATTCACACAGACTCACCAAAACTGGACAATAGAAGATTGGAGAAACGTTGCCTGCTCTGATGAGTCTCCATTTCTGCTGACACATTCGGATGCTCGGGTCACAATTTGGCATCAACAACATGAAAGCATGGATCCATCCTGCCTTGTATCAATGGTTCAGGCTTGATGGTGGTGTAATGGTGTGGGGGAGATTTTCTTGGCACACTTTGGGTTCATTAGTATCAATTGAGCATCGTGTCAACGCCACAGCCTACCTGAATATTGTTGCTGACCATGTCCATCCCTTTATGACCACAGTGTCTCCATCTTCTGATGGCTACTTCCAGCAGGAAAACGCTCCATGTCATAAAGCGTGAATCATCTCAGACTGGTTTCTTGAACATGACAATGAGTTCACTGTACTCAAATGGCCTCCACAGTCACCAGAGCTCAATCCAATAGAGCACCTTTGGGATGTGGTGGAACGGGAGATTCATCATGGATGTGCAGCCGACAAATCTGCAGTGACTGTGTGATGCTATCATGTAAATATGGAGCAAAATCTCTAGTATCTTGCTGAATCTATGACACAAAGGATTAAGGCAGTTCTGAAGGCACAAGGTGTTCAACTTGGTACTTGTAAGGTGTACCTAATAAAGTGGCAGACGAGTATATATATATATAGCATTTTCTCTCTTTAGACTACATTTAAACTGTATTTTAGCTCATAATTTTTTCATAATTTTATTTTACAATTCACTGTTTTTCTTGAAAATCTCAGTTTCATCTATATTTTATTTTTATTGAACTCTTCAATTTTATTTGCTTGCAATCTGTTTCATTGGGGATTAGAAATCCAAATCATAGTATGCTAAAAAAATAGCCAAATATTATTTATTTTTATTCCTTTTTAAATACAGTTTTACATTTCATTAGTTTTTTTTTATTCAAGCAGTAAAGTATGGGACACAAAGGACATGTGTTCAATTCCCAGGAAAGGCAAGAACTAAGAAAATAAGTTATATTTATATTAAAATCTTAATTTAAAAATGTACATAAATATTCATATTGTTATTTTATTTCATACAAAATACAAACTGATAAGATGTGTACCTTAAAGTGGACCTATTATGCCGTTTTTATATGAAATAAATAAGTCTCTGATGCCTCTAGAGTGTGTGTATGAAGTTTCAGCTAAAAATAATAATGTTTTCTAACTCTCTGAAAGGGGCGAGGCAGTGGCGCAGTAGGTAGTGCTGTCGCCTCACAGCAAGAAGGTCGCTGGGTCGAACCTCGGCTCAGTTGGCGTTTCTGTGTGGAGTTTGCATGTTCTCCCTGCCTTTGCGTGGGTTTCCTCCGGGTTCTCCGGTTTCCTCCACAGTCCAAAGACATGCGGTACAGGTGATTTGGGTAGGCTAAATTGTCCGTAGTGTATGAGTGTGTGTGTGGATGTTTCCCAGAGATGGGTTGCGGCTGGAAGGGCATCCGCTGCGTAAAAACTTCCTGGATAAGTTGGCAGTTCATTCCGCTGTGGCGACCCCGGATTAATAAAGGGACTAAGCCGACAAGAAAATAATTGAATGAATGAATGAATGAACTCTGAAACTGACTCTTTTAGGCTTTGATCCTCTTTGTGCCGTTTTGGTGACTGTCACTTTAAATTCAAATGAGTTTGTGCTCTTTTCAAAAGAGGGCGGAGCTACAGATGCATGTGTGTCAGCATAGCGGCAGATTCAAAACAAGACTAGCGTCCAATGCTAATGATGGAAAGATGGTGACTAGTGGGCGGGGCTTTCCCCCTCTGATGACACGTACAAAGGGAGAATGTCAATCAAAGTGTTTCTGCAGACTGTTTTAATCAAGTGTGATTATAAAAAATATAGTTCATTAATGTTTATCATTAGAAGCTGGTTATATTCACACACTGCTGACACACGACTGGCTTGTGCTTCAGGAAATGATTTCAGCAGTGCTAAAGAGCTTAAGGCGGAGATCAGGAGTGTGTACAGAGAGAGGGATCGTCTGGAGCTCCTGCATAGAAAGCTGCAGACTCTGAGCACAGGAAGTGGACTCGACCTGAGCCGCATGAAGGAGAAACACAAGCACATCAAGCTGGAGCTGCAGAACGGAGAAGCTCAGTATGGTGAGAAACACTCAACATTCACACACTTTTCAATCCTGACACACGGGGGAGCCGTTGAGCTGCAGATAAGGAGGGTTGCTCTTCTTCTGGGCCTCAGTGTTGGTTTATAAATAGAAAGAGAGATAGGATTTCTCAATTCCTTACAGCAGGGGTGTCCAAACTCGCTCCTGGAGGGCCGGTGTCCTGCAGAGTTTAGCTCCAACTTGCTTCAACACACCTGCCAGGAAGCTTTTAATATCTAGTAGGAGCTTGATTGGCTGGTTCAGGTGTGTTTGATTAGGGTTGAAGTTAAACTCTCCTGGATAGCGGCCCTCTAGGACTGGGTTTGGACACCCCTGCTTTACTGTAAAGTTTAAAAGGGATACAGCTGTGGATATGCACATTAGTATTGCATCATTTTTGTGACACTGTACAACAATAAGTGCTATTTTTACATTATTTTGAGGTTTGGATTTTTGATGCAAGCGTTAATAAGATGTATTTTAATGTGTAATTTAATAAATATGAATAATACTGGTTGAAATGACAGTTTTTACTTTGCTGTGAGGGTTGTGGTTGTGGTAGACGTTAATAAAATACAATTAATGTGTAATTTAATAAATATTAAAAATAAAAATTGGTATAATGACAGTTTTTACTTTACTGTGAAGGTAAGAGTTGATGGTAATAGAATGCAATTAATGGGTAATTTAATAATTAATATGAATAATAATGGATATAATTACTGTTTTTACATTACTGTGGTGGTTGTGTTTATGGTTTGTAGGGGTAGATGTAAATAAAACACAATTTAATGTGTATTTTAATAAATATTAAGTACAATAATGGATATAATTACTGTTTTTTCATTACTGTTAGAGTTGAGATAAGAGTTGATGTTAATAACATGCAATTAATGGGTAGTTTATTGAATAATGTAAATATTTTAGTTAACTTCTGGCTGCAGCTGTATCCCTTCAATCACCAATCGTACCTCACAGTTGACGTCAGGCTTTCTAAATCGCGTGTTTTCTCTTGATGAATTGTTGCATGAGTGTAATATGAAAGCAGCTCAATTATTTTTGAATATGCTGGATTAAACATAGACGGGTGGATCTCTTAGAAAGCCAGACAATTTCACGACTGTCACAGCAGAATTAAAGGGACAAAATTATAAGGTGCGATACTTTTTTGTAACTTCTGTATTTGAATGAAATAATTATGAATTTAAATTTTAAAGAGTAAGATTTAGTTAATGTGATAAATTTGACAAATTATTTAAATTATTTAGAGATATATATATATATATATATATATATATATATATATATATATATATATATATATATATATATATATATATATATATATATATATATATATATATTTTTTTTTTTAATGTATTAATTATGCAAATTAAATTAAATTATTTTTTGCATAAAGTAGCATAATCATATTCCAATTTTCTTTCATATAAGCCAGCAAAATGTCAAAAAATTAGGTTAATAATTAAGTTATTAGATTTTTCTTTTAAATTTACATAAAACCAGGCTTTATTTTTTAATGCAAAATACAAGTTCTGCATTGTAGTAGCAGGAATTAATTTAAAATCTTACATATATGTTAAATTAATCTTTTTTTTTTAAATAATCATTTGTTAAAATAGTCAATAATAATTTATTGAATGCAGTGGCGCAGTAGGTAGCCCTGCCGCCTCACAGCAAGAAGGTCGCTGGTTCAAGCCTCGACTGGGTCAGTTGGCGTTTCTGTGTGGAGTTTGCAAGTTTTCCCTGTGTCTGCATGGGTTTCCTCTGGGTGCTCCGGTTTCCCCCACAGTCCAAACACATGCGGTACAGGTGAATTGGGTAGGCGAAATTGTCTGTAGTGTATGAGTGTGAATGAGTGCGTGTGTGGATGTTTCCCAGAGATGTGTTATGGTTGGAAGGGCAACCGCTGCGTAAAAACGTGCTGGATAAGTTGGCGGTTCATTCCGCTGTGGCGACCCCAGATTAATAAAAGGACTAAGCCGACAAAAAAAATGAATAAATGAATTTATTCATAAATAATCATTACAATAAATGTACATAAATATTAATAATGTTCATTTATTTCATGCAAAATACAATTTCAGCATTGTAATACATTGTGGAAACAAAATGTAAATTTGTACATTTATATTAAAATCACAATGTAAAAATAAACAGAAATATTCAGAATGTTAATTAATTTCATGCAAAATACAATTTCCGCATTGCATTACATTAATGGAAAATTAATTTAAAAACATTTATATTAAAATCATAACTGTAAAATATGCATAATTACTCAATGTACATTTTGCATGCAAAATACAATTCAGCATCATTATAAATCAAATTTAAATATTTAAATTTTAACTTTTACATTGAAAATATAAATTAAAGTGTACACATATATATTATTATTATTTATTTTTATTTTCCCCCCTCTGAGGTGCGCCCTGATCTCCGGATTTCAGACATGCTTTATGTGTTTAATGGCTGGAGAAGGTAAAGATGTCCGCTGGTCTGGTGTAAATGCACTGGTACCACACACTGCTCTTGTTCTGCTATCATCAGAGCAGATGCACATTAAACCCTTCTGTCCTCCTGTGAGGGAGTGTGTGTGTGTGTGTGTGTGTGGATGGAGATTGCAGGAGGCGCTCCGTCATTTATTCACTTCTCTACACGTCCAACAACAGGCTGACAGCCAACAGGACCCTCGCCAACAGACAGATTACACTCATACGCTTTATTACACACACACATACACGCACACACATGCACATGCATACATGTACACACACACACACACACATACACTCACACACAAATGCACTCTATGCATACACACACACACACACACACACACACACACACACACACACACACACAAGAATTCACACATATGCACACTCACACATGCACATACACTCAAGCACAAATACCCACATGCACACACACATACTCACACACACTATCACAATCACACATGCGCACACATTAACACCCACATGCATACACGATAATCACTTACACACACACACACACACACGCACACACACACACACACACACACACACACAAGCATGCATGCCACACACATGCATACTCCCATGTCCACACATTTGCACATGCATGTGCACACAAACACACACACTATCACAACCACGCATGTGCACACAAGCACACCCACAAACCTACATACACACTCGTACACTTTTACACACATAAACACACATGCATTCCACCCCCCCCCCCCACAATCACTTGCATGTACACACATAAACACACACGCGTTCCACCCCCCCACTCAAAATCACAACACAACCACACACATACACACACACACACACACACACACACACTGGCGCTGCTGAACAAAGAGCTTGGCTGCTCCGTGTCTTTGTCCCGCTATAGGAGAAGCAGTGAGCTAATGATAGCCTGAGCGCTGATGCGAAATATGCAAAGCGCTGAATATGATCCACAACACAAAAGATCTCTGACATGAACGGCCTCTTATTAGCTCGTCTTCACACCACGCTAATAACACACTGACACACTTATTTGCCACAAAACTGACACTGAACCGCTGTTTTGGCCGAAGACAGGTTTGTGTGCGTAACTCTTCACGTCAGGGTTACGGTTTGGTGCCTGTGAAATCAGGAATATATTTACACTTATTAAAGGCTGTTTTTTTTTAAACATGAGTCTTTGCTCTGGCTTGTACGATGAAAGAGAAAAAAGAAAACAAGGAGTTGTTGTTATGATCTCATCTTTCAAAAGCAGTTAAGAAATGGAGTGGAAGAAGATAAGATCAACTACTGAGTCTCAAATGTGTAGATGGTTTAGAAAATTGTTAAAAGCTAGCAATTGATTTTTTGATTATACATATAATTTATTATTTACAATATATACATACATATAAATATATATATACATACATACATACATATTTATATGTATTTAATAAGTAATTTTTTCTTCTCTTTTTACAAAGTTAATTTCATTTTAGTTGAAATATTTATTAAGTTTCAGGACTGTATACTTTTTATGATTGTCATGATTTACAATATTTAAATTTAGGGTTATATTTCAATTCACCTATTTTCATAATGTTTTGTGCGTTTGTCTTTTCTTAATTGCATGTATTTTTTGTTTTAGAATTAAAACAAGCAAACAAAAAACGTGAAGCAGAAAATTACACAACTATATTTAAAACCAAAACACAAAATACACAAATTTAAATGTCAATTTAGCAAGATGTATTATATATATATATATATATATATATATATATATATATATATATATATATATATATATTTATTTTATTTAATTTTATTATTTTTTTTTTTTAAATATCAAATATAATATATTTTTAATATACTTCTACTTATATATTTTAAATTTTAGTTTTATTAATTTAGTACTTTAGACTTGCTGGGAAATATACTTAAAATCATTCACATTAGCATCACGAGGCATGTTACGTTTTAATTTCAAACAATAATCCCCAAAAAATGTAATTAAAAATAATAATAATAATAATAATAATAATAATTGTTCATTCTAGTGTTTGAATGATTCTCTAGCATAATGTCTAAAGTAAACAGGTGATTTTGCTCACATTTTAAGATTATAAGGCTGAACTGTATGAAATGTCATCATTCTACTGAAATTTCCTAGTATTTCTCTGTTGCAATCGGGATTTCACAATAATTAATCCTGAAAAAGCCAAAGCAAACATTAGCCGATTACTTTGGTATAAATACAGCACTACAGCATACAAAAGAGAAAGATCGACTTAAAATGTCATTTACCTGATTTAAAACAATTTGATCAGCTGTACTTTGAAATTTACGCCGAGTTTTTTATTATATAATCTCTGTCGCCATCTTGTGGCGGAACGGCAACCGTCTTTGCTTTACTCGGAATGACAGCCTGATGGTCACCAACGCGCTAAATCTCTGACATTATAAATATTTAAAATATGCACTATCT